TCATAATTCTAGTGCATTTATTTGATTACATAACCTTGTACCTTCTTGTACCTATTAACATTTCATGAGAACTTCAATTATTTCCTTTTTTCTTTATTGTTATTTCGCATATATGCTACTTGATTTATTGACATATGTATAAGTCTAAGGCTGACAGTATGCAGACATATTAACATTCTGCCGTCGGATTGGAATTCATGAGCCTCTAGATGGATTCTAAAGCTGTGATAATTGAATTATAAAGTAAAGTGCCTGTTTTGTAACCTAAAGGCACTGGGTTTGACCGCCAGCCTTCTTATGCATATCGTTGAGGAATCTCAATTTGGGACAAAACAGACTTTTAGCATTCTTTCTTTTTTTTTAAATGGCACTCCTACTGATGTCAGTCTTAGTAGTGAAAGATGGTGTGAAAAGTGTTTTTTTTTATTGAGGCACTGATACATTTATAGCATAGATATTCAGCTACTTTGGGTAAAATCGGTAGATTCATGACATCATTTTCAATTGGTTAATTATATTTACTAGTGTGTATGTAGTCCAAAGTACAAAATTTCTTTTTGTTTTTCAAAAGAATGGATACTGAACAAAGAATACTCTTCTCGATGACTTCATCTTCAGCAGGTTCTACAGTTATACATAAACATAATAGTGAATAAATTGGTGTTATTAACAACATTAATGTTGTTTAAATAACATCGAATCAATAATAATAATAATAACGATAATATCAATGGATTACAGTTTGATAGCATCAACAATATAACAATACACTGAATATCAGAAAAATTAAGAAAACTGATAATAATTCATGAGTGAATTTATAGTCTCCACTGAAGGCCGACCAGAGCAATATTAGTAGCTGGCTGAACCTGTTTCTTATGCGTACGGGGCATCGGTCGTTTCAGGCGAGTCGCCATAGCCTCTTCTGTTTGAAGTATACGAAAGCTGGATAAGTGATTCTGGAGAATGATTCTTCATTTCGTTTACTTTCTCTTACAAACACATCGTTATGATTAAAACAATTAGTCCCTTTGATAAATTTGAATAAGGCATTTAGAAGACAAATTTCGCGAGATGATATCGTAATTTCGTAGTTTCTTTACAACCGCTTTACAACTAACTTGGTTTACAATAATAAAATAAAATGCATGACAATTACTCACTTATATGAAACAAAAGTACATACTAATGACCAATCAAATTTAAATAGGTCAAGTAGAACACGTAAGACTAGGGTTGAAGTCTATTGTTTTTGAACACCGGTTTAGGCTGTATGTGATTAATCCCCAAAGTGCTTCCACCACCCTCAATAACCTTGAATTAGAGTTATGTGATCAAACAGTCATTAGTATTGATTTTGTTGCCTGACATTATTAAGTGTTTTGCAGTGGATGACGCTGATGGATTTCTATTCAGATTAATCGCATTGGGATTTTCTACATCATTCAGTAACCATTTTGGAAAATATTCTTTTCGACGACATTGGAACATTCTATTGGTTCTACCTACCGGAGCTGCAAGTTAACTTGTAGATACAGTTTGAAGTGGAGTCCACAGAATTGCCTCCTCTAATCGTAGGTACAGAGATCAAAAATGTTCGGCATGTGAGGGAAAGAGATGCGGTGTTGAATGTGCTTTCGATGGCTGACCGAAGTCTTTGATCTGTCAACTACATAATCTGGTCACCCTTGAATGGTAGGTTAACAGAGATAGCTTTCTTTGGTACAGAAGCTGTCTTTTTGAGATGTGGTATTTCTTTACTATGACAAGTGATAAAGTTTTCCGGATCACCATTAGCTAATAAAACTGAATGTATATGTTGAAACTCATCCATAAATGTGTCACTCGGGCATATTTTTTCGGGCCCTTGAGGACAAACATTTCACTAGGGTTGTAAAGAAACTACTAACTGATATCATGCTGAGAAATTTGTCTTCTAAATGCCTTATTCAAACACCATTATGAATAAAACTGACCGCGCCACTTTCAAGTTGATGGCATTGTTAAGTGTTATATTTTCCAAGGGAGGTATTCTGTGACTTATGTCTCTGATTAAAAGTAGACTCTTGTTTAATAACATGAAGATATTGATCAAGATTGGAATGTTTTATTTCTTCATTTATATCTATGAAATATGGTTTCAAGTTCTGGTTACCAACTGAATTCAGTTAGAGTGCGACTGAAAGCCAGTACCAGTGGTGGATAACTGTTTCTCCCTAGTTTGGATCGCATATAGTATGCACACAGGGCGTTCAAGTTCATTGGCAATTTAGCCACTGGGATAAATTCCAATGGCCTGTGAATTCTAACTTCTGCCAGATAGATAGATAGCACAACCAATGGGCAACGTCATTGTTACGAACTATTACAAGCCAAGCCAACTGTTTGCGTTCAGAACGCAAGAAATTGATCTCTTTATCCTACTGGATAACTGATGAAACTCCTCTAAGATAACCCTAACGTCAGACATAACATCATCGTGAACTATACTTGAACAAGCGCCATGACGTGTAAATGCGAAACCAGGGAATTGCCACCTTCCATACGATATATCCAATGTGGTGATATTCTTCTTATTCAAAACAGGATTCGGAGACGTCTTCGCTGAACGTCTACTAATCATATGATCACAGTGTGTTGAGAACTAATGCTGCTGAAAACTGTTATTGTTCCGAAATCTCTAAGGGAATAAGAAAACCATCCTTAATCTTTATATGTTCTGTATTGTCTTCATCCTTAAGGAGCTTTCTCTCGCAGAAAAAAGGATTAACCTTCCCGGGGGAATTTTAAACACTTGAGGCTTCGTCCTGCTGTTCTTCAACTGAGCATGAGCTGGGTACGGAAATCGTCTTCTCTTCCTTAAAGGTTCTTATCGGTAAATTGAAAGCAAGCATAGAAGACAGTACTGTCCGAGTTACAGGGTCATGCAATCCACCACCGTTATCGATTAGGTTTAACTGGCTCAGCTCATTTGGCAGGGATCGCATTTGTACTTCCTATTTAGCCTTTAGCTCACGAAATTCCAACAGCATTTTTTGTCTAAACTCGTCTATGAGTATATATGAAGGCTGAATATTTTTCATCACATCTAACTTGAGGAATCCCGTTGTTCAATAATGTTTTTTTCTCTCTCTGTATATGATCAATGTAAATGATCATTCTTTTGCTGGAATCTTTTTTACAAGGTAGTAATGAGATCTGTGAAACTAAACTAACAGAGTTCGAAGAATGTGAAATTTAGTGCATATTTTTTTTGTTTTTTTCGAAATATCTAGTCTTCAGCGACTCCCCAAAGAAATTTGCATTGAATGCCACAGTTTTTTAGCTCATCGAAGAAGACTTTGCGAAGTGGTCGCACTATGCCATGAATCGGCAGAAGTTAGAATTCATGGGCTGGCCATTGGATCTGGTTCCAATGGTTTAATGGTCTACGATCTAGCTTGTCTTGTAACCAGAAGGTCCTGGGTTCGAACCCTTATGGCGGGTGCATACTGCTGAAAACTTCCAAGCACAAAGACGAAATATCTGTCCAGTACTGCTAGGCTTTCAGCTCCTTACAAAACCAATACTTGAAGGTGAATAAAGAGGCGGTAATCTTTACTTTGATGAAATTGAAAGATAAATTGTTTACAATCGGTTTAGGAGAGCAGAAATGACAGGTATTTTCTTTTCTGATAGTGATGACCATGTCGATATTCATTTATATTGTTTATGATGTATCAATGATCTGTAGATGAGGCAAGTGCGACCTATGATGTTCCAGTGGTAAAATATTCACCAACCACGAACATATAATCTGGGATTCGATTCCCAGTCGATACACTCAAAAACCTCGCCCCCAGCCGATTACAAATCCGGTAAAAAAGAAAAAAAGTGAGGTTGGCAATCACACCCGGTAAAACAAAACATGGTACTTAGACTTTAAAGCTCTAACTTGAAGTCGTATGTTCCACTAGTAACTCAAAAGAATGAAAAAAATAAATGAGGCATGATATGGAATTCGTCAAAAGAATGGTTGAATTTACTGAGTCAACAAGAACTAACATTATGCAACATAAATTCTATATTTTCATACTGGACATAGCCTAAGCACTAGCCATCCAAAAGCTCAAACCCACGCTATGTATCCAAAAAAAATACGTTCAACACTTGTCCCTGCTATGGCCATCATAAACAGATAATTCTTTTAATAGTGACTATGCCATTAGCTTTCTTATCCAAACTTTCTGTTTATTCGTGTTATTTTTAAGTTTTTCTTAATCCTTATTTACACTATCATATTTTCATATCCGAACTTCCTGCCTACTTTGTCATTTAATTATTTCTACATATTTAATCCCTGATTGCATAAACAGTTATTTGTCACATTAGTCATGATCCCACTAGATTTTTTCTATCCAAGCATCCTGTCTATTTTGTTATTTCTACATTTCAAATTCCTAATTGCACAATATGTCAATCGTCTCAGTAATTATGATGCTATTTTATTTGAGTTTTATCAATTCCCCTTGTTTGTTATGACATTTTAATTCCTAATTGTAATTCTTTTTATCTGACCCTTGACCCTTTGTGCGTCGGTGGCGCAGTGGTTAAGACTTTCACCGACCATGCATATGGTCCGGGGTTCGATCCCCTGCCGACGCACACCTGATATCTATGGTTGGCCTGCGAAATCTGGGCTACCGATATCAAAAGCTGAAAAGTCCATACCTGTACCAAAAAATATGGCGTGGAATCAAGCTGTAATAAAAAAAAAAATTATTCTGGATCCTTACCACCCATTTATTATTAGTACACGAATGTACAGTCTAGTTGAAGACTTCGTCACAAAGAAAATTTTTTTCTCTGCAATGATCTTTTTGTAGTATTACTGTGGTAAGTTGTCAGTGAGTTTCCTCATAAAAATGTCTGACTAGAAATTTATTTTTCTATCCCTAAATATGCAAAAACTTTACTTCACCTTTTCTAAAATTCGATTATAATACTTTAATATTTGATAGATTTCCTGCTTTCTCTTGGTGTGGTGGTCTTCAACGCGTAACTGGTGGTTGTGCATCATTAGGACGTGGCCATCACAGTCTACAAGGAAGCAGTAAAAATTCAAGTCGACAAAAGCTACCTGGAAGTGGAGAACAACAAACCGCTTTCCGATCTCATGAACTGGCAACTATTGGTGCTAGACCCACACCACCACCAAAACCTGGTCCATTTGTTGTCGAAGTAATTCTCACTAGAGGTACACGAAGTGGATTAGGATTTAGTATTACTGGAGGTGTAGGAAATGAAGCATCCAATGGTGATTCGGGTATATTTGTAACAAAGGTATGTTTTATGTTTTTTTATTTATTTATTGATTACAGCTTGATTCCACACTGTATTTTTGGTACAAGTATGGAATTTTCAGCATGGATATCGGTAGCCCAAATTTTGCAGGCCGACCATTAATATCAGGTGTGTGTCGGCAGGGGATCGAACCTCGTACCATGTCCATGGTCGGTGAGAGTCCTAACCACTGTGCCACCGATGCATATATTTATTTTTTTTACTTTATCTGTATTGTATTTGTTTATGTTGTTTTGTGAGTAGCTAGTAAAATGATCTGTAAAGAAAGCGTTGATATTTATCGAATTAGATTATGAACACAATATAAGGTAAAACCTCTCGATAAACTTTGCCATAAGCAAACAAGTTGTCAAGGAACTTAATCCTAAGATTCTATTATTTCCGAAGACGCTCCGAATTTACAGTCACTAAGCACACATATAAACTTTTATTCCAAAAACACAATGACTGAGAAGAAATCGTATTCTTCGATTGTTAAAATCAATATCAAGTTCCCCGCCAATGACGACCAGAGCCAATAAACAAACGTTCAATGTTCATAATCATTGACACAATTGAATAGAAGAATTAGATAAGACTGTCTACTACCCTTGATTATATTCCTCACTGTGGTGGACTGGATTATGCAGAACATCGTAGGCTTGCAGTGAGAAGACAGGAATATGTCGGACTGATAAGAAGACTCTTGAAGATATGAGCTCCTCAGACGACTAATGTAGAGTACAGTAAGGTACAGCAGGTCGGCTGTGAAAGTGTGGTGAGAGCAGGCTGCTAGCCGATTGGTTGGCACTAATCTACGTTAAGGTCTAGGTCACTAATGTGGGCCGTGAGAAGATATGAACAAGGCTGAGTCAACAACCAATCACAGCAAAGTTAACGTGGCAAAATATGATTCGCAGATAGAGAACTCTGTTTGTCAAGGAATCCCGAAACAACCAATCAGAAGCCTGCGTTTGTCTACCTAAACAACCAATCAGATGACTGCGCTTGTCTATAATAATGTAGTTGAAATATGTATAAATACGTGTTGATTTTCATAATAAAACGATCTGTTGCCTGGCCCTTGTCTTCTGTTGTTACATTTGGTGTCGCTGCCTACCGACAAATGGAAAGCCTATGCCCTGCTGTTTTCGATGGAGACATATGGATCTTCGGGCAGGACTTCAAGGCTTCTGCGCAGTTGAGTGGCGTTCAAGATCTGTCAGCGATGGAGCTGCTACTTGGGACGCTGCTGGGAGGTCGGGTGAAAGCAGCATATGAAAGTGTGAGCCGAAGTATGGACGAATGTTCGACAGGGTCAGGCAAACAGTTTCCAAAGTGGGAAGGACCATATACGGTCACTTCGAGATGGGGTTACGCAGACACAGTCGCAATGGCGAACAATAAGAGGCGCGTGAACGTCAGCGAGCTCCAGAAATGGATACAGCGAGACAAGCCAACGATGACGCCTGCACCAAGTAGATCAAGCCGACTTCAGTCGCACGTATTTGACGGGGGGACGAGTGTGGTGAGAGCAGGCTGCTAGCCGATTGGTTGGCACTAATCTACGTTAAGGTCTAGGTCACTAATGTGGGCCGTGAGAAGATATGAACAAGGCTGAGTCAACAACCAATCACAGCAAAGTTAACGTGGCAAAATATGATTCGCAGATAGAGAACTCTGTTTGTCAAGGAATCCCGAAACAACCAATCAGAAACCTGCGTTTGTCTACCTAAACAACCAATCAGATGACTGCGCTTGTCTATAATAATGTAGTTGAAATATGTATAAATACGTGTTGATTTTCATAATAAAACGATCTGTTGCCTGGCCCTTGTCTTCTGTTGTTACAAAAGAAAGATACTCGCTGAAGACATTGACTAGTGGTCGCACTATGTCGTGAACTGGCAGAAGTTGAAATTCATTGGGTGAACAATGGATTGGATCCCAATGGCCTATTGCTCTACAAGCTCGCTTGTCTTGCGACTAGACGGTCCTGGGTTCGAATCCCGGTGGGTGCATACTGTGAAGAGTACTAAACTAAGCTGACTAAACAGCCGTCCAGTTCTCCCAGGTTGTCCAAGGATTCTCTACCTGGTTGTCAGCATATGATGAAATCCTGTTAGCAATCAAATCAAATCCTTGCAAACCAATACTTGAAAATCTAACAACTGAAATTTATTCATATCTGCTCAAATCCCATAATCTAACAGTGTCGAAATTCTGCTTTTATTTAAGTTTCAGTATTTGTAAAAGTATTCAGGTAGTTATTCCTACTCATAGGTGTATTTCGTCAATACTCATTGACCTCTGTAAAATATAAAAGAAATACAAATTGTATTCATAGGCAATCCATACACTAAACAGGTTTTCTTATAACTCCTTTTGTATGGCTGGTTAATTTCGGCCATGAATCAATAATGTGCGTAGAAATTATGGTTGAAAGAACAACAACAAAAAACGCAGTATTTCTGTCATTGTACTTGTGTTTATTCAACAATAAAAAACAACAGCATTGAACTTAAACGTATTAAATTTGACACTTTCTTAGTCGTAAATGGGAAAACAATTGTGCCTACTAACCGTTGTTATAACTGAACCTACAGTAATATAGACTTCTTCGTGTTTCACTATTTTCCACCTGAATTTCAAAAATATGGGTATTATTTCGAATCGTTGGGTATAGTTTTCGTTACGTAATAGGTGGATATATCAGCAATTACTTCATTGTGTCCTCTTGTGTACATGCATAGATATGCTTGTGCACACTGCCTCCAATCACCAAATCACTGTATGCACAGAATTTGGCGAAGAATTCTCCGTTATCATTCATTCCACCGAGAGAGAGAGAGCCTCTCGAAGTACGATTAATTCTCTTTCTATTTTTTCCGCTCTCAGTTTAGCATTCAAACCGCCTGTTAGTGCTTTAATGTCGTCAATTAGGATCTTGTCCAGTACTGTTTGCAGTTGTCTATAGAGATCCTCCTTCTTCTTATTCATTGGGTTTGAGTTTTTTGTAGGCGCGTAGTATTAAATAATGAAGATTATTGATTCATCAGTTGACAATTTGGATAATCCATATCCACTCCGCCTTCTCTCATTGTTATGACTAAAACCAACTGGTTGTAGTATGAACCCGAGAAATCGATTTCTGCGTCATACTGTATAGCTGCATCGATCAAATCACCACACTACGGATCATCATTGAACAAAGCTTGGAATAGCAGTCACCTCCCTACCTGACTCAACTTCATCGACTTTGAAAAGGCCTTTGACAGCGTCGATCGAGAAGTGATTTGATAACTATTTCGCTACTTCCAAGGGGTGCCGCCAACAATTATACGTCTCATCCAACATTTATACGACAATGCTGCATGCCAAGTAATCCACAACGGGAAACTTACGGAATCCTTCGAAGTGAAGACGGAAGTGAGGCAAGCTGGCTGCCTACTATCGCCGATGATTCTGCTGATTGCGGTAGACTGGATATTGTGACAGAGAGCGGGCAACAAGGGGACAGGCATAAAATGGACCCACACAAAAAGCTTGAAGGATCTGGATTTCACCGATGACATAAATATGTCCGATTCCCCACAAATTGGAATATGTCTAAGTGAAAAGCAACAAGCTGGCAGAAGAAGCATCCAGAGAAGGTAGGACTTCGGACAAACATAGAGAACACAAAGGTGATGAAGATTCTTGGCCAACAGCAACAGCACCAACAGCAGCTGTCAACAATCAGCCAGCATGAATAGGAGAAATCTGGAAGAAGCAACCCCTTTCACCTACCTAACTGGAAAGCATCGTTTCAGCTACAGGCGGACGCAACTAATGAGGATATCATCAAAGCGAGGATCGGGAAACCAAGGCAAACTTTCATTACCCTCAAGTCTGTGTGGAGGTCAACAACAACCAGCATGAAAAATAAGATCCGGATTTTCAACTCCAGTGTGCAGTCAGTGCTATTATACGAATCAGAGACTTGGCACGGAGTCACGAAAGGCACTTCAAACAAACTACACACCTTCATCAACAGCTGTCTTTTGCTCAGTGCCACTCAAGATCAAATGGCTAGCCAGAAAATATCAGCAACAAAGATCTCTGGGAGAGAACCAATCAGGAACCGATTGTGCAACGAATGTGCTACTTGGGACGCTGCTGGGAGGTCGGGTGAAAGCAGCATATGAAAGTGTGAGACGAAATACTGACGAATGTTCGACAGGGTCAGGCAAACAGTTTCCAAAGTGGGAAGGACCACATATGGTCACTTCGAGATGGGATTACGCGGACACAATCTCAATGACGAACAATGAGAGGCGCGTGAACGTCAGCGAGCTCCAGAAATGGATACAGCGAGATAAGCCAACGAAGACGCCTGCACCAAGTAGATCAAGCCGACTTCAGTCGCACGTATTTGACGGGGGGACGAGTGTGGTGAGAGCAGGCCGTGAGAAAATATGAGCAAGGCTGATTCAACAACCAATCACAGCAAAGTTAACGTGGCAAAATATGATTCGCAGGTAGAGAACTCTATTTGTCGAGGAATCCCGAAACAACCAATCAGAAGCCTGCGTTTGTCTGCCTAACTTCTGATAAACAACCAATCAGATGACTGCGCTTGTCTACTTGCATAAGCTATAATAATGTATGTGAAATATGTATAAATACGTGTTGATTTTCATAATAAAAGGATCTGTTGCCTGGCCCTTGTCTTCTGTTGTTACATAGGAATAAATAATAATAATAATAATATTAACAGCTTTATTCCAAACGGTATTTGTGGTACAGGTATGGAATTTTCATCGTGCATTACAATATATTGCATCTAATTACCTCACAAATTTTATAAGATTTTTAAAATCAAAATAAATACATGAAAAAAAACCAACGCCAAAAAAAGATAAATAAAAATTTTAAAAAAAACAGCGTAGAGTATACATTCCAAACAATGCACCACAGGATATGAAATATAAAGTTGATGTGTGATAGAAGATGAGAACAACAGTGTAATAGTAATGAGGAAAAAAACAAAAACTGATGGGACTACTTGTTAGAGTGCCGCAGTAAGTTTATCGTGTTATAAATGGAAGTGGATCGGCTATACTCTGAGAGAACAAACCATCAAGCGAATGACATCACACAGCAGGCCCTCTTTCGAGTGAAACCCATATAGAAAGCGGTGAGTTGGTCGTCTGTGCGAGGGTGGAATGACATGGAGGAGGTCATGTGAAGAGGAGATGAAAGCATGTGGGCAGACGTGGAGCCAAGTGAAAAGGTTGGCGAAGAACCGAACCCAATGGAGACATGAGACTGAAGCCGTATGTTTCTCTAGGAACTAAAGGAAACAATAATAATACTGTATAGTTGTCCGAAACTTTATCGATAGATGCACAGTGACAAAAGTCTTCAAAGACAGGAAAAGACGAATATGTGTGGTTAGATCTATGCTCCCATTCAACAACAATAATAACATCAAAAACTGAAAATTAGGCAGCTATGCAAAAAAAGTAATTTTCTAAGCACAAACCAAGTACTGCAAAACAAAATTAGTTAGCCGAAATCCAACTTTAGGAAATACCTGTAAATTCGGCAGAATATTCCCAAGAAGGTATGGAATCAAAAACTCTGTCCGTAAGAATCACATACGAACAGTTCCTGAAGACAGTTCAAGGTTAGAATGACTTTCATTCAGTCAAACAAAATTGCAGTCGTAAAATAACAGTAGGAGAATCATTAAAATTGGAGATTAGGTGCAGACAAAGACAAATAATAAAGCTGAAGTCAACTATATGATATGCAAATTTCAGAACAATGATAAACACTCTAGGAGAAAAAGGGATAATAATTACAAAGTTAGTTGGAACACCGTTCAGGAGCGAATTTTCAAAGTATATATATATATATATATATATATATATATCGCGAATCAGCAGAAGTTGGAATTCATTGGCCAATGGATCGAGGGGTCCCAGTGGTTGAATGGTCTACGAGGTCACCTTTTAACCTGAAGGTCTTGGGTTCCAGTCTCTGTAGGTACGTACTGATGAAAAATCCCAGGCACTAGGACGAAACAACTGTGTAGTGGTTCCAACCTTCTATAATGTCACTCAACTGATGGCATATAGCACATTTTTGACTTAATGTTAACTATTTGACGTAAAATTATTTCATTTCTTTTGAAGGCATATTCTTTTCCGTTCCTAATTGGAGCATAGAGCTTCGAGGTTTCAGTAGCAGTGGTGTCTATTTAACAAGGTGGGGTTCGCTAGCCCCACACCCGACCTTCCATTTTTACCTGGCTGACTATCAGCTTATCGAGGTTTTAGGAATACGTCGTCTCGGACTAGAACCCTGGACCATGTGAGGCGTAGTTGACAAGCATTCTACCAAAAAACTACCGATGATATGAAATATGGCGGTTTCAATATATATATATATATATATATATATATATATATATATATATATATATATATGTATATATATATATACAGATAAACTCGACTACTTTTCACTGAACTCCGTACAAAGTATACTTACAATCTATTTTTTTTTATTTCTACATACGTGTATTTATTAATTTCAGATTACTTCTGGTGGTGTTGCAGAAACAGACGGTCGAATTCGTATTGGGGATAGAATTGTTCAAGTGAATGATATACCACTTGTTGATGTAACACATGAACAAGCTGTTCGAGTGTTAAAACAAGCAGGTGATCAAGTGAAACTTGTTATTGTCAAACAAGCTAGTCATTCCTCACGTCATGTATCATCTACAGGTGGTGAGTGTGTGTTATTTTTAAGTTATTCATTGATATATACGGCATATGTATTATTATACATATTATGCGCTTATAAGTGTACATTAATTTCGACATTTGGTAAGGCATCTAGTGATAATAGTAATAATGGCTTTATTCTGAAAAGTGCATTTAGACAAAATAGAAAATTCTCAACGGGTTTCATAGCAAGGTATTTACTCCTTGTGTAGAATTTTCAAATAATAAAATGACCGATAATTTGTCATCTGAAGCAACATCATTTCATCCGAAGCATGTCCCGATCAATACTCCTCCACAATGCTGTTCTTGCATTTCTTTCGAAAATTCTCGAGCGATAAATAGAAAGTTATTTGAACTTGTACGTTGGTAGTACAGCTGTAGACTGCTCGCCGACCACGCCTCACGTGGTTCGGGATTCGATCCCCGGCCACCGACGTACTGCTTTACCTCACTAAGACAATAATAAGACTGTTAAAAAGGATAGGTTGGGCATGAGGCTAGTAACTCCATTCCGTAAAAATAAACACCACTGCTACAGAAACTTCAAAGCTGTAGCTTGAAGCCCTATGTTTCACTGAGAACGTAAAGGATAGATTGATAGCTACTGGGAATAAATAGATGATTAAAACAAAATGTGAAACGTAGTAAATACGTTAGCGCATTTAGTTGGGTAGAAAATTTTTGGCGATTATATGGCATATCACCTTTTTGTAAACGCGCAACCGGCTTTTTCCGTTGGGTCCTATTAGCGTGCAGTGATAACGACTCTGACTACAGAACTGGATAACATGAACTTGGATCTCAGAAAGAAAATTAGTTCCTTCAAAATTATAGATACGTCTTACTGACGAATGCCAGCCAGCACGTAAACTGGATCCAAGGCTTTCAGCCGACTACCTCCTAACATATAATATGTTGTATAGTCCATTTCTTTACAAGAATCATAATCTGTTTACGTATATTCTTTAACAGAAGTTAACAGACAGTGTTATTTAGTATTCGAATGACGATTTATCGATCTAAGGTGGTAACCAGACTGATACTTTACGTGTATCGATTTTGTTCAGTGAAAGAGTTTAGTGTACTTGTAGAGTCTCTGATAAAGCTCTATACTTTTGAAAATTACTTATGATTTTTCAACAGAACGATTACTGAGCAAAAAGTATTCTTTTCGTTAACTTTATCATCATTATCAGGTTCTACAGTTATACATACACGTGGTAGTGAATGAATGGATTAGTGTTATTAACAACATTAATGTTTAAATAACATTGAATCAGTAATATCGATGGATTACACCTCCATAGCATCAACATAACAATATACTGAATATCAGAGAAATTAGGAAAAATAATAATACAAATTCATAAATTTTCAGTCTCGACTGAAAGCCGGCCAGAGCAGTAGAAGTGTCTGGCTCTACTTACTTCTTTTACACAAATAGCACTGGTTCTTTAAGACGAATCGCGATAGCCTCTTCTGTTTGGAGTATACGATATCTGGATGTTTTTGGTAATTTATTTGTTATCCGATAGGTGATTGTAGAGAAGGACTCGTCAATGCTGGCTGGCTTTGTGGCCAGTATGGACCAGGTGGTCTAACATCGAACTGTTGATGCTTCTCACCACACCTTTATTTCGCCACACTGGTAGATGTTCCGGAGTGAGCACGAAAAATCAAGTTCCTATAGCAATGGTCAATCTATTGATATTATTGATTCGATGTGATTTAAACAACATTACTGTTGTTAATAACACTAATTCACTCATTCACTCTAATGTATATATAACTGTAGAACCTAATGAAGAGCAGGTGATCGAAAGGAATATTCTTTGTTGAGTAACCATCCTGTCGAAAAATTATTTATGAAATGTAGCGAGCATTCATTTGAATTCTAAGGTGGTTATCCTCGGTACATAAGCAGTATATTAAACAAGAATAATAATTATTTTATTGAATTTTAGATTTTCCCGTCGATTGATTGGACCGAAGTGCTCGGTCTCAGGTTGACATGTCTGTCGGCTTTTGTGCAGATGCTTCGACGATGTCTGGGCATTTATTTAGTATTTAATTGGTGGATGATGACTAACAGTGGAATCCAGAATGTGCATTCCGGCCTATTTGGGGGTCGTCAGCTAGTGCAGGCACATCCAGATGACGAGTCCAAAATAGGGCGAAATGTGCATCCTGACTGGATTCCACTGGTAGTCACTGTCCACCAATTAAGAATAATTATTGACTTTATTTCAAAGCAGTACTTGTGATACAATATCGCATCTCTAATTTACTCAATGACAGCAATAAAAAAGCATTACTTGGTATAGGTAAACAAATTTGATAACAGCAATATTTTTTCGGTATTACCAGGATCAATAAATTAAAAAAATGTACAAAAAGCATAAAATGGTAACAAAAATAATAATACTAATAACTAAAATTGTAACATAATTGAAACGGTGTCACCATAAATGACAATTAGGGAGGTCAATGAGCATTTTATACCTTGATAATTATGTAGTAGGTTATAAGTTTCACAATTGACACTATCACAATCATGTAGAAGGCTGACCAAATAGACTATCGTTGAGTTTCGTACTTTGTCATGCGTGTATATAATCTTTTTTTAATGACCTCTAGTGCTGACTACCTGATGAGATCCAAAGGGGGGAGGGTTGTGAATGAAATGGGCGATGATAGTCAGATATTATGGATTTAAACCATTTCTCTTGCATGAGTTCAGTTGAGGTTTGGCTACATTAGTGGCATGTCACCTGGCCTACTGACAACCTTCAATACCCTTTACAAGATAACATATTCCTTTTGGAGAAGTCCAGGAAGGACTAAACGGGAGCTGTAAAGTACAATAGGTAACATGCAAGATTTAACGAAGCGTAAAAGTAGAGGTTAAATTATTGTCGATTGTCTTTAGTTCCTCATGAAGAAGGTCTGAAGAAACGTTGTATTAGAAATCAGCAAGTGCTCTGTATGCTACGAAAATTTTGTGAATGAAGGTGAAGTTAACTGTTCGACATTTGGAGGGACATAAAGTAAGACCATTTAGCCCAGGCCACCGGCTGATGAAATTTGGAATAGTCAGATCATTAGCGTTTTTAATAAAGTTGATTTCTTCTAAAAGAGAGACAAGTTCTGTTTGAAGAAGGAGGAAAGAATAAGGGAGGGAACAACACTTTGATGGACACCGGCTTCAGCAAATAGGGCAGGTTAAGCTTTGCATTTTTGCATTCTGTTTGAGAGATAAGAATGAAATCAGTCACCCAACCTGCACTTCGTATATGTCAAGGTAAGCTTATTTAACAAATGACGTCTGAGTGACTGAAAAAGTCAATAGCGGATAAGTAGTCCAGAAAGGCTAATCGAACGTATTCGCCTCTCGTGTAGAAAGAGGAAACACTACTATGATGTTAGACAACAGCAGCATTGGCAGCATTCAAGGTACATCTGCCTTGTTTGTATACATACGGTTTTAGGGTCATTAAGACTTTTCAAGGAAGGATCAAGGTTGAGTAAAAGTAGTTATTCTTTTAATTTTATGAAAAGAGAAGTAATCTCAATAAAGCAGAGTATAACATTCGAACTAAGGCATGATTTAGGCAGGCGTTTTTGATTACAAGACAACCTGGCTGAGCTTCCTCGATGGGCAATGTTAGTTTACATAGGGTCAGGTTGGAAAAGAGTCAGTGGTGGTCAAACTGAAACATAGTTTCGTCAGTCAGTGAAATCCACAACAGTTAGTTCAAGCCACATGGGGAGGCTTCCTGATTGAGGTCCTCGGGACTATAAAAACCAATGAAGGCTTGAGACAATTTGTGATATGGCTCAGACTCATCGTTCTCAATGCCTGGCGCAGATGCATCCACACTATATTGTTCTTCCATATTACTAATTTTTTTTTTCGCCTTATGTCTCTGTTTACTATCTTTATTCTGCATTTCTTTTTACTTCTATGGTTTTGTGTGCTAAGAGAAGTTTGGCGACTCGAACTGATGCATATATATCAGTGGAACGTTTTATTTTGAAACCAGTCAGTCAGTCAGTCAGTCTTGGTGAACTATCATCATCTGGGTTATTTCTTCTCTGTGTCTCAATTTCTGTATCATACTGCATACATTAATAATTATACACAAAAAAATTATCCCGGATAGACTATTTTTCCACTGTCCCCTTACTCTGCTGGTTGTATTTAGCTGAAGCATTTTAGAAATGCATACATACATACATAGATAGATGATTTGCTCAAGGCTAAAAGTTTTTCTCTTTCTCCTCCCTGCCCCCCCCCAACCAACCACGCTTATAGAAAGAAAATCCCATTGAAACTGAAATAATAATAATTGACCTGAAGATATTGAATTCCCATATATATCATATATATATATATATATATATATATATATATATATATATATATATATATATATATATATATAGCATATCTTATTCTTTCTTGGCTTTTTTTTAATTAATAATCTCGTTTGAGTACAAATCTCTCAATCATCATCAATAAAAAGATGGACATTGATGTTAGAATGTCAAAATAAGGAGGAAAAGAAACCCAGATGGTGAAATAGAAGTCAGAAAGTAAATTAGATTGAATTATGGATTAACCATTTCATCGTGATATATATATATATATTTATGAGAAAAGAAAGGATATAAAAAGCAATAGAAAGCGAAAAAGCTAGGAAAGTAGAGGCAGTTAAATAGTAGGAGGCAGTCGGCGACAGAAAACCTTGGAACTCGGTTTTGTGCTAGTTGGCACTCGACAGTCAGCAAGGCGTAACTGCAACCTCCTTGAAGGAAGTCATATCCCTTCATAAATTTGAACCCACGTCACCCGGTGAGAGCTAAAGTCAGAGACGTTACCACTGAGCTATTCAGGCTTGTGATTTAGCTCCTGTAGGACTGTATCGGATAATATCAGTAAAACGTGTGAGCATTGTGGATTAGATCAAATAAAGGCATAATTATATTTCAATAGTTTA